TAATCTGACTTCGCGAAGTTTCAAACCGGTGTCGCTTCAGTCTAGAAATTTTTGAGTTGAGTGACCTGCAGCGAAAGAGTGCCTGGTTAAGGCTTACATAACAACTTAAATAATTTGACCGAAGATTTAATATAAGAGACTACGAAGGGACTTCACGACTCGTGAACATTGTCAGGGAAAGAAACAAAAGAGGTTTTCATCTTTCTTGCAAAATCTGTCAGGAGCCAGTAGTCTGTGCGTTCGTGATTAAGTTTTCTTGACCGAAGATTTCCGATAGAGGAGACTACGAAGCTACCTACTTCACGACTCGTACACAATTCTAACCTTTATTGAACATGACATGTCTGCCCAGTTGAACTGTTCTCTACCCAATCTTGTACCTCGAGTCTTCAACTCGTACTACACATGCTGGCTTCCGGAACGAAGACGCAAAGAATGAGAGTGTCCCCTACCCTGAACGAAGTTCAGGAAGAAGTTCCCGATTCTAATCCAGACGGGCGAGCACTAGAAGCAGAGCCAGATGGACTCGAGGGAGAAGACCTTCGCTGAGTTCTAGTTAGAGTAGACCTCACTAACTGGGAAATTCGTTCTCGCACCCTAATTCCCTTCTCCTTCCCTTTCGAACGCCTGCCACGCAGGCTATATATCTCAGGTATCTGACGCTGGACAGACTCATTCATCTCCGAATATTAAAAACATAATGTTAAAAACCAGGAATTACTATACTGCCATCGTAAAGGTACTCGAACAAGTTCCCCATGTTATTTAGTTAGTGAGGTTTACTCTCACTAGCACTCTGCGAAGGTCTTCTACCTCGAATCCATTTGGCTCTACTAGCTCTTATGCCCGCCCATCAGGATTAGAATCGGGAGATCCCTCCTGAAGGTCAGGTTAAGGGCACTCTAATTCACAGCATCTTCGTTCCCGGGACGAAGACTCGAGGTATAAGATAGTGATTCTGTCTCCATCCACTTCTACTTCTTCTTACTGAGTTTGAACTATATGAACGATGGAATAATAGAGTTAAAGTTAAAGTTAGCACTACAGAGAATTACATGCATACTAAGTAATCATTTCCCGTGTGGTTTATGGTTCTTTAGGTGTTCCTGATAGGAGCTGACCTCAGATGCAGTTGTAAAGTGTTTTAATTTTCTTTGACCTCTGTTTAAGCCTAAAGCTTTAATTTAGTATTACAGCTAAATGAAGATTTTACTTTCTATGGTTTTCTCCGTAAATCCTAGCCTGTCTACAGACCACCCCACCCCCTACCATTTGTCAATAGAAGGTATACGAAATTGTGAAAAATGGTATATAAAAGGTTAAGGGGTGAACCTCCGCCGTGTAAAAATTTGTTAAGTATCTACCCCCCCTCCCCTCCCGCCCCTCCCTAGCTGCTATTTCAGTATGACGCTGGGCCCAGCTCATAAGTGTTGTTTCAAGGATTTTGAATTTTCACGGATAGTGAGATCTTCAGATTTGGGTTGTACACGGTAGCTTAAACTAAAGCTACCGGCCAAGTATAGGTAATTATGCTCCGCGTGAGTTAAGATCATTCTCTAACCTCTGATAGCCTGATGCAGTCCATTTCATTTTTTCTGAGATCAGAAGTGAGTCTTTAAAAAAGCGTCATGTCTTGTTGTTCCTTCGTAGGAATTTACTGTATAAATTCTGCAAGAATGCAGTTCCTCGTCAGTTGCTACTATGGTAAAGTCTTTGGTGCAGAGAGCGAAACTATCGAAAATACTGATTTGCCATTGGCTGCAAAAAAACGCCAAACTGAAGTTATAAATAAAATATCCTTCCAAATAATCGGGGCTTGAGAACTATAAGCAAATTGATACCTGAGGGACATTTTATGCAAGTTAAACGAGAACGAAAATCACAATTAAAGTGGAGGAGCAAGGAAAAAGAGGCAGGTGGAAGTCTATTAAAGTGTGAGAACACAAAACAAGAAACATGAAATTTATTGAATGAATGGAGGGAAAGAATAAAAAGCTTCGAGACTAGCAGGCTTAGAACGTGTTCGTGGAGGAGAAAAGGTGATAATTCGCGCGAGAGAGAAAGAGAAAAGAAGAAAAATCGATTTGTTCAAGCAGACTCTCAAGGTCATGTTGCACATTATCACACGCGCTTATGAGTCGTGTTTGGCCTGTCTGATGCTAATTTCTAACTGAGTTGATCGTTGTTTCGGTCAGCATTCGTGAAATAGCGTGCACAGTCTCTCAAGAGACAATCCACGGATTCCAACAAATCCGTTGTCGGGGAGCCAACTACCACCACTACTGTCTGGGCAATGAATAAGAACCAAACCTTGCTTGAAATTAACACGGCCATTGCAGCCACCGAAGTTACCTTTCATCTCCATCGTACATGAAGGGTTTTTTGCTGACGGTATAATTCGGTGCCTCTTATACGACGACTTTCTGCGACCCCATATACCACATGCTTGTTTGTAACGCACATGCTTTTTTGTGCGCACACATATGCGCGTTTGTACCCACAAGGCAGGGAAGAACGCAAGTATACGTGGCAAAAAAACGCTCGTATATCGTGTAGCAGGAATGATTGCAAGTATACGTGGGAAAAAACCGCACGTATATCGTGTCATAATTTTGAAACAAATGGCCGACCATATTTCGACTCAGTGTGTAATTTAGTGGCCGGGACTTGCTGCCATTTCCTCAAATCTTACAGATATGGACGTCATCGTAATATTCAGTTTGAACGATGAAAGTAGGAACCGTCGTTGATGATATCTTTTTCCCAGTTCCTGAAATTAAAGCTGTGCTTCAATTTCGGCTTTCATTGAAGATCCGGACATGTTTTTGTTCCACTCACGGCAAAAAGTGGTGGTTTCAATACCATCCTCCACAATTTCTCCTTCCTCGTGCAGTGAGAAAAGAAAACCCATTGGCTTTAATCAAGAGACTTTTTGGGCGGGAAAGTACCTTCATCTTTGCTGGAGGGTCAAGTGGGGGATTGACGTCATTATTATCGTCACTCATTGAAATACATATATTTTACGATTGAAAAGGACGCTATTTGGTTATCATAACCATTGTTTTTATTTTTTATTTATTTTTTATCATTCCGATTTTTTTTGTTCATTATGTTTTATCCCGTTACTCGTTACTGCGTTACTCTGTTCTGTTTAGTAACACCCATCTTTGTGGCAGACCACTTGAGTTCCACCCAAATCGACACTTATTTTAATTTTTGAAACGCTTTGCATTGTTCGAAGCCTGCGTTAGCGACTACAGTGTATAAAGCTCAAGTATTAACCCTTTTGGGACGGCTAGGGTCGTATACGACATTCCTCTCTGGAATCATTTAGCTTTGAGTTGAAGTTAATAAATTGGTAAGCAAGAACGTCAGCAAAGATATATCTTGTTTTGATATACCTCGTTTTGGATATTCTGATCAATCCTGACAGAGTTACACTTGCAAAAGAAGGTAACATTTTGGGAAAATCCACTGCCAATTGCGCTGTTTACATACTACTCTTTAAAAATTAAATTTTGTCCTTTTCCTGAAAAGTTAGCCAGCCACAATTCCATGCAAAAGAAAGACGATAAAGTGGGCAACAAAATAGCTTATGAAAAAGAAAGGCAAAGGAAAAAAGACAGCGAGAGAGAAAATCGAAATAGATTCGCAAAAAAAGTCCAAATTTTGGCTTTTGCGCATGCGTGAAAAACAGAAAAGCTATTTAATTACGTCAGATTAGTCGGAAAATATGCCTTTTTTCTAGCAAAACTCATTTTTAGCCAATCTTATGCTAATTAAAACTAGTCCAAAGACGAGGAATTGGTGAAAAATGCGGTTTTTTCACTACTCGCCGGCCGTCACCAAAGGGTTAAAGCTTGAGATTTTAATCACTTGTTGTCATGCGACCAATTTACGTGACAACACTGAGCATTTATTGCTGATGAAGACTGTGCGATACAGTCGAGAGATACAAGACCAAAATCTGAGACTCTGAGACTAGACTTTATTTTATCAAATAATAATAATATCAATAACAAATACTTAAAAATAAAATAAGACGATTTAAAACACTAAAATCTAATAATAAATTAAACCGTTATTAATAAAATTCCTGGAAAGCTGGGTCTTTAAATTATTTTTAAAAGTACGATTTGCGATTTTACCGTAACCAAGCGATTTCTCGCAAGCTGTTTGGTCGAGAGCTATGCTTGAGACGAGTACAGAGCATGGAAATGACGTGATGGTGGCGTTATTTGTTTTTCTCCTTCAACGGAGATAGACGTGAAAAACTGTCAATGTTATCGTAAATAACAAATCGACAATAATTTTCCATGGTCTGTACTCTTATCGACCATAGAATTGACGTGAAAATATTCCAAACTTTCCCATTGCAGGCGAGACGAGAAACGCAACACCTTGTGTCATCTGATGACGATAACGACCTTGTGACACGATCCCGCTCGTTACCCGAAGACAACATTGAGTCAGATCAAATATGTTACATTAGCTACCAAGGACACCATGTTTTGCATGACAGAAATTACTGGCTTGGATAGCGAAGTCAAATCTCAGACTATCGTGACTACAGCGGGTGACAATGCCAGGTAAGCAAAAGCCATCGGGGGCTACAACCCACATATGGCGTCGACGCCGGGATTTGAACCCGGGCCACATTGGTGGGAGGCGAGTGCTCTCACCACTGCACCACCATTGCTCCCCAATGGTGGCGAAATATATAATGATATGCTTTCGCTAAGACTTCGGATATATGCAATCATTAGGTGGGGATTTGAACAACAAGTTCGCTTGGTCCTCATTTCCTTTTGTTACCCATGTAAGTAGCCGGGGATCATACGTAGTGTCGGGACTGATGAAACCCCTTAGTGATAGCCCTGCGTTTTAAGTCATTCACTGGTTCAGTATATTTGCTAGTTTTATTGCTGTTATTGCCTGCTAAAACTCACTCGTTTTTCTTCCTTGCAGGGGCTACCGGTAATTCAGCCAGAGCAGACAAAATGTGTGATGAACATGACACATCGGAACAATACTATTTACAGAGGTCCACGAAAGTATTCAAAAGAAAGCCCCTCCTACGACAACAAAATAACCGCAGTAAATCTTACAGCAACAAACCTCCATCTCCGCCTCTTGTTAATGGGCATACAAATTATTTCGGTCTAACGTTAAAAGGGGATGGTTGGTATGAGAATGGTCAAAAAGATAATGACGGAGTAGAAGAAGACAAAAATTCTAGTCACACGAGCAGAGGTCTTGTAGATAGTGTTGCACATGCAGATTTTTTCTTTGATGAAGACAACGGTAACAGTGATAATGCTGCCGGCGAAAGTAACGGAAGTGAAAACAACAGGGATAGCAATTTTGATAATGAAGATAAAAATGATGCTGCTGCTGATGATGATGATTACCCTGTGACCAAATCAAGCTCGTTACGTGTTGACAGCATTGCACCAGGGAAAAGCATTAAAGATATTAAATCAGCTACCGAGGAAAAATTTTTTAGCCTACCAGTTAACACTGGCTTGGATGACCAAGTCAGATCTCAGACAATCGCTATTACAGCGGGGGACAACAATGGTAACACGGCGAGTTATCCACCAAGCCTAAAACCGAAGACTTCGTCACCAAGATTATCTCGAGGAAATTGGGCGGAATTAGATTACCTTTACAAAAGTAGAATACCATCTCTAGAGGCGACAGGCATCAATCAGAAATTTCTTGAGCGGCACACGACAGATCCAAGTCTACAGCATGTCTCCCAGCCTGGTGATTTTAATCTTCCGAAAAATTCCGCGCCGCTTGCGGAATGGCCCATGTGGAGTCTGCCACCTCCTGACGCTTCTGAAACTGGACATCGATGGCGTCACTCGAGTGGACTGCAACCTTCCTTTGTGGGTAATCAAACTGGGGGACAAAGTAACTGGAATGATGAGCCACGTGCATTAAAGTTACCCACAGTAAAATCGCATACGCCCAAGGCCACTGCAACAGTCACAGAGTTGCAGCGTAGTGCGGGTGTAACATCTTGGAGTGTTCCTTCATACAGCTATCAATCAAGTGTGTTGCCTGAAAACTGGCAAGAACGTTTCCTGGAGCCTTCCACACCCAATTCGTTTACAGAAAACCGAGAACATGTTCATCCTGTGACTTCATCTGAAATATCTCCTTTAAGGAGAGAGGATCATGAGAGAAATGGTGCTTTGGCATTATCACCTGAGTTCCCGGATGATCTCTCACTTGCCGCACTAGAACGCAAGGTGGCGGAGGCATGCGCAGTAGTTGAAAGGGTTATGAAAGAACGCGAAGAAAGAACAAAAGCGCAGCGTGAGGCAGCGCAAAAGAAAAGAGAGATGAGAGAACAAAGAGAAAGAGAGGCAAGAGGAATGAGAGAAAGAGAAGAAAGAGAAAGGAGAGAAAGAGAAGAAAGAGAAAGGGAAGAGAGAAAAATGAGAGAAAGACAAGAGAGAGAAATAAGGGAAAGAGAAAGGAGGGAACCAGTAGAAAATGAAGACAGGGATACAAGGTGGTTTGGGAGAGAACGAGCACCGGTTCAAGAGAGCCCGCAATGGCAGTGCGTGGATTATCAGCGACGTTGCCTCGTAAAGTTTCCTTGCTGTGGAATCTTCTACCCGTGTCACCGCTGTCACAATACATCGGGGGCGTGTGATACTGATGACAGGAAGGCAAATAATGCGACGCATGTCAAGTGTGGCATCTGTGGACACGAAGAAGAGGTCAGTGGCTTTGTTCTTACGGTTATTCCTATGAATTGCTTTGCGCATTCTCGCTGCGCATAAATACACGCTTGATTATCGCGCACATGAAAAATAGCGGCTTTTGCTGTAAGGTTGGAGTTCGCTAGAGGTAAATATTCATTTATCTCTTAAACGAGTATGGTCACCTATCATTTTTCTTTCCTTTATTNAAGTTTCCTTGCTGTGGAATCTTCTACCCGTGTCACCGCTGTCACAATACATCGGGGGCGTGTGATACTGATGACAGGAAGGCAAATAATGCGACGCATGTCAAGTGTGGCATCTGTGGACACGAAGAAGAGGTCAGTGGCTTTGTTCTTACGGTTATTCCTATGAATTGCTTTGCGCATTCTCGCTGCGCATAAATACACGCTTGATTATCGCGCACATGAAAAATAGCGGCTTTTGCTGTAAGGTTGGAGTTCGCTAGAGGTAAATATTCATTTATCTCTTAAACGAGTATGGTCACCTATCATTTTTCTTTCCTTTATTAAATTGAGCGGCAACTTCCTTTCTCTAGGTGTTAGACAAATTGCGGGGCAGAAAAGAAAACAATGGTCGGAAACGAGTGTACAGCCGCCCCACTCTCCTCTCCGAGGGGAAGGGGCAGCTGTACACAGGTTACAGAAAACACGGTCAAATTTTCCTGTACTTGTGAATATAGTTAAAGTGATGTTGTAAGGAATTTAAGGTGCTGCTGCTCCCAAACGATAATTCTAGGTTTTCACTGTCACGCAATCAAAAATAAAATTGTAAACCATTCAATACAGAAAGTCCAGAATCTAGGAAATAAAAGAAGATAAATATGCAAAAGGCCTCGCCAAGAATCAGAACTGTGGATATCTCATATGCGAGATATTCGGAAAAACGTTTTACCCAAATTTATAAAGCTTTGCATGGAGTCGCCATGTTTGTGTCCCTTTGAGGGGCACAAATATGGCCGCCGGAAACCAATAGAAACATCTGCTTTTGAGTTTTGCTACTAATGCGTAGCTCCCCTAAAAACGCCTGCGTGGGAGGCTAACTAATGCGTGAATTCTTCGCTAGAAAAACTCATAAAGGATTAAAGTGATATTTACTCGGAGACAAGGAATGCTTAGATAGCAAAATCTCCCAAAATTGGTAATGTTTTTAACCCACATAAAAGCCTTCAAGGCCGCCAGCTAAATGCCGCGTCACGCAAAAGCCTAGAAATTCAAACACCCTCTATCGCAAAACGAAGAACCCTTTCGAACCAAAACTTGTTTAAATAAAGGTGTTTAGGAGCTGTAATACCTCATGAAACTCAGAATCTCAGAAGAATCGATAGTTTCTTAGTTTGAATTTTGGTGACGTCATGTGAAAACTGAGAATTGAACGCTCCTCCCTCCACCACCGTTGTTGTTGTCTTCATAACATTATCAAAAGCCTGGCTAAATAGACAACTAATCGGCAAAGTTTGACAAAATTCTATTTCAGGGGAATGACCTTTTAAAAATATAGACTTAGTCTGTCACAATCAAATCTCAACAGTGATGAATACTGCAGATATGCTCTTGGAAAGATCAGGAGGATATGAACTTTTGTAAGAGAGCGTATCACTTAGTGTACATCTCACAGTGTTTCATACTCTACTTCAACTTATTTTAGCACTTGTCAAAACTAACTGTTCCTTTTCTGTCTCTTTCTTTTCTTTTGTAAAATTTAGATCAATGAGGGAAGTCAGCATTGCAGCAGCTGCGGCGAACAAATGTCAGCGTATTTCTGTTTTATATGCAAATATTTTACCGGGGTGGAAAAGAACCTATTTCACTGCGATAAATGTGGTATTTGTCGGTAAGTTGTTACTTAGATGTTCGATAATTAGTTATAACCAATTTTAAACTATTCCTTTAGCTCCCTCCTTAAGACGTCGATTCGGAAAGAACAGAAAATTTGCCATCTCTTCTTAAAGAACCCAGGCTATATTCTGAAGACATAAGGGACAGGTTGAGACAAATTCAGTTTTTCTTCGTGGTTGTGGTTAGTTTTGTAGAGGCGTTGGTTGATGGTCTGAAAAACCGAAGGACGTGACTGCATTTTAAAATAAACGTACTAGCTTTGGTATTGTGTTGTTGATAGTTATTTAAAACTGCTATCATCTGGGTTAACGTTATACGACTTCACTGAGTCACTAGGTGCATAATGGGGACATGTGCAGGCAAATTTGATACGATGGCATTGAAAATTAATGCTTCTCTGCAAAAGAAAAAGTTAGGGCGATTTGGAGACAAAAGGATTATTGGCTCTGTAAGAGTTTCATTTACTTAAAACTGAAGAAAATCAATCAATCTTTCAGAAGCTTTTTTTGTTTTTTGTCTTGAATAGTATCCACAAGGACAAATCGTTTCACTGTGATGTTTGCAACGTGTGTCTGGACAAACGGCTTGAAGGGAAACATAAGTGCAGGCCCGATTCCGGACACGACGAGTGTTGTATATGCTTAGAGGTAAGTGAAGACTGACTATTTTTCACCAAGAAGACTTGATTACATGTACATCCGCGACAGTTATGCATCTCTTTTTTTCGAATAGTCAAACTCGTATTGTTGCTAAACTTGCATGAAGTTGACAAGGGAGGTGGAAATAAATGACCTCTGGGGACTAAGTCCTGTTTTGTTGATATGGTGGAACACCAGTGATGTTCCACTGCATCAAGCTTTAGATTTTTCACTTGTCCCTCGGGGACGGAGAAATGTGCAATGGTTAATACATTATAAAATTCCCCCTTTTGATTTGTATCCCGCCGGTGCTGACAGTTGCACAATAATTGACGGCTTAATCTCGACTACAAATAAAACGTTTCTTTCTGAGTACCAAACTTTTATACGCTTCTAACGTAACAGATAGTTTTGACAAACCCAGTTTGCACAGTAAAGTGTGCTGCCATATTTATAGTACATGCGTTTTGTTCACTGAGAGCAAGCTAGGTGAAACGGGACGACGCATGTTTACGTTGTAATTAAATCAACTTTGTGTATTCTTCACAGGATGCGTTCAGCGGTTGTCAGATCCTGCCATGCTCGCACAAGGTCCATAAGGAGTGTGCCATTGCTATGATTCAGAACGGAGTGTAAGTGGCCAACAGAAGTAGATAAACAAATGATAAATAATAATGATTTATAGATTATCTACATAATGGTGCTTTGTCGGCCATTTCTCATTGAATTGGAATCTGGAAATGTTGTTTTTGAGGAGATGGAAAAACCGGAGTACCAAGAAAAAACAAAAACAAAAACAATAGAAGGGCGTGCACCAAAACTCAACTCCCTCTAGCGGCTTACGAGTGCTTTTTAACAACAACAACAACAACAACAAATTTTATTGAAAATTGGAAAATAACAAATTACATTACTTTCCCACCCGCAAATAGCTTATAAACTAATCGAGACAGGGGGAGCTGAAGACATATTACAAAACAAGATTTATATATAGTTGGACTAAATAACAGTGAAGACACTACTATACAGTTAATAGAATTTAAACTAACATAAAACAAGGCAAGTACATAACGATTACGAAGAGAGGCTAACCTAAAGTATTAATTAACTTAATACCACTGCGCAGCCCCTGTACGGCAGAGCCGGGGGTCGGGAGGGGTTGTGCGGATTTAGCCTTTCCCTACTATTTCCAAAAAGACAGAAAGACAGTCTGTTCTAGGCTAAAAGATAGTGCAGTAAAAAGTGATGCAAAAATTGCGCCGGGTCTGGGGAGAGATGGGCTCCAGATCGCGCGCGTCTTATTTTTCGTTGGACGTCCCTACTATCTAAAAGGCTGGCCAAACTAACAGACGCAAAGGCAGACAGACGGACACTTCATTTCATCACGGAGTTTCTTCAACTTTCTTTTTTGGACTTACAGAGAGGAAACTCTCCGCAACTTCTTCCATTTCAAGCCCGAGACCGAAGTGATTGAGATAATTTATTTTCTTTCGTTTGCTTCTTTCTGTACTGTTTTCTGTGTTTCAGACGAAACTGTCCAATATGCCGCAATCCTTTGTTTAACCAAGACTCACAGTAGAGATGAAGAACCAAAGAATCAGTGACCGTTCAGGAAAAGCCTGGATTTTGAAATACTTCTGTTAGTGCAGTTGCCAAGATGCGAATTGGACGATTTAGAGGAGAAAAAGGTAGTTAATTTGTTGTCAGATGAAGAACCAAAGAATCAGAGACCATTCAGAAAAAGCCTGGATTTTGAAAGACTTCTGTTAGTGCAGTTGCCAAGATGCGAATTGTACGTTTATGAGGAGAAAAAGGCAGTTAATTTGTTGTCAGAACAATGTCATGTTAAAAGTTGGGTTTACTTTTACAAAAGCAAAATGGATAAAAAGTTTCATAGTTATCCTAAAAAGTCCAGTATTCAAAATACAGGCCGTTAACAGGTCTTATCAATACTTTAATCTAAAATCAGTTGTTGTTTACTCAGTGGCTTGTAGACTCAAAATAAAGAGGATCAGTTCCTAGGGACATCAGTTGCAGCAGCCAAGAAAATTGGCAAAACAGTAGAGCAAAGACTTCAAGAAAACCTTAGGCCCGGTGCAGACGCCGCTCCACTCATGTGCCGAACCTAACTGAGTTTGGTTCGACTTTGGAGCGACATTGGCGAGACATCTGATTCAAACGGCGCACCGTGTGTCGAACCTAATCTTTATTTCATGTAAGGACTTATGGGAAGATTTATAAATTATCATAATGTGTGCATTTGATTCGGCGGCACATGAGAAGAACGCCGTATGAATCACCTGCCGCTCCAATGTCGAACAATGCGACAGACCCTGTCGAACTTAACGTTTTTGCCGCACCAAATCAAAACTGCCGTACCAAACTGGTTCAGTCGCCGCTCTTTTGCCGTACTTAATACCTCAGTTAGGTTCGGCACATGAGTGGAGCGGCGTCTGAACCGAGCCTTAAGCGCCTTTCCTGTTTACCGCAAACGTACAAGTCAAAGCTAAGCAAACAACGCAGTCCGCCTTGAGCAAAGGCATGACTTTATCAATTTAAGCAAGGAGCATAGCTCGAGGAACAAACAAATAAATAAAAATAGATAAAACAGGAATCGTTAAGTTAATGTTTCGTGGAAACACTTACGCCCTTTATTGTTTTTGGTACGTTGCGTTTTTTCAACTTTGGTTTTATTAGTTGAAGGTAGGCAAAAGCCATACTAAATTGAATGATTATCTCGCTTAATTATCACTTTGTGGCTCTAGGTTTTAGTTCAAACTATTTGGACTATAATACCAGGGTATCTTAACAAGTTTAAATTTACAAATGTATTTCAGTATTTATTACAGTAAATATAATTGATGTTGAAAATCGTATGAGATTTTTGTTCAGTGAAATATATTTTTGCCCACTTTTATAAGAAGATTAAGACGTCTCTTCCTTACAGGCACTGGTTTCTCCAGGCCGGATTTTACGGTACGAAGAAAGAGAAACGTATCGTAGTGTCCGGCCTGAAGAAACCACTGCTCGCAGGGTAAGGTATATCTAACGCACCCACTATTTATAGCAGTTTTGGCGACAACTTTATTCAGCCCAGCCTGCGGACACAGGCGTAATTCCGGTCGTCGCTTCTCTCCACTCGAACAGTAACAATTAATTCACTTATCTGTATTACATGTAGAAAAAATAAAGATGGTTTAAACCCAGAAAATCGGTCCATAGCCTTGCTGCCCTATGGCACTGTTTATTATGCTGCACTGTGTACAAGGTGGTTCTAACTTTCGAGCCCGTGGGTGAAGTCCTATGGTGTTATAATACTAATGAAAACTACTGAGCAGTACTTTGCTGTGAGGCTGTTTAATGCACTCTTAATAGTGATTCTAACTTTTGGACCTATCAATGATACCCTTTTAAACTTTTAGATGTGAGCATAAATAATGGCAATTGAACTGAGTGGAATGTAATTTGGTCTGATGACTTTGTTGAAAGCATTAATTCCGTGATCAGTTTTTGGTTCTCGGAAATGCCGGTGTGATCATTCGAATGACATAACTTTTTGCCAGCCTTTTTCATTTGTTATTGGTTTTACCAGTTTGAACGAAGTTTTAGCCTGTTCCAGGCTCCGAGATAGTGGTGAAAAGTCGTTCAGTATAAAGAAATGCGAAAACCGCATTGGGGCTGGTCGCACGTGTCTCATTTTTCGCCCTGCTCGTTTTAATACATCCCCACTATACTATCTGAGAGCCTGGCACAGGCTAACGAATTTTAGGATTAGCAATATTGGATTTGTGCCCGCCTGGTCACTTGTCCCAACAAGCCCTCCTCGTTGATATCATTTTTGAAGGTATCGGGCATCTCTCGGGAAATGCCGCACCTCATTTTTCGGACCAGGGTAGGTACTGGAACCTTACCCCAACCTATTTGAGACAACAACGATGAGAATCTGTGCCAAATTTCAGACCAGTGAGAAAAGTTAAAAAAATAATATCTATTTCAAATATTTCTCTGCTGGTGTCTGGCTGGATTTAAAGGAATTTTGCTTATTCTTCATGTAACTAACGTTGACTGATGACGCTTAGAAGAGGTTTGAATTGCTATTATCCCCTAATTAGCATCAATTTTATCCCCTTAGCGACCGACATCATTGAGGGGACAAACTAAAAGTTCATTGTGGACGGCTGACGTCACGAAGGTAGGCGGTGCAAGTGGGGGGAGGGTCAGTTGTTTTGGTAGTGTGGAGTTGAAGAAAATGGCGGTAGCGTTAACACGTTGATACGAAGAACTGCTAACACAAAAATATTGCAAAAGTCTACAAGAATACAATTTGGTTCCAAAAAGTCTTATTGGCTGATTGAAGTAAAGTTATAGCCTATAAAGGACGAATTCTTCTTCTATACGGCTGCTCTCTGATTGGCTACATAAGAGGGATTTCCCTCGTTTGTCAGTCAAGAAAAAAGGTTTTTTTAGTATAATAAATCATTTGTTGTTATGACCAGGTCTTGGTCAGTCGTGAAAATAAGTATTTCCGCCATTACTTTCGAATATCTGATAAGCACTACCTAGTGGTTATGATAAAATTAGCCTAAGGAGTTAACATTTTAACTACTGTTACACAAGGCACTTCTGTTGACTGAAGTTAAACCATTAGTTTTGGGTTTTGCTTGTTATTTCACTTCATAAACATTTTTGTTCTAATGGCTCTCAGTGCAGTGCTTTTTTTCAAATCATACTTGTTCACATCATGTTCATATCGCGTGTACGCTCAGTCGGCTGACTTGTGTTGTGGCGAGTTGTTATGACTTTTGGAAGCAACTTTGAACGAGGAAAAAAAAAAAAAAAAAGAAAAGAAAAGAAAAAAGAAATATAATAAGAGGAAAATGAAACGAGGTTTTAATAATCGGCAATCCTTAATCCTTAATTAATCGCGTATTATAAAGGAGTTTGGGAGAATACCTCGCGCGCTCAGCGTCCGCGTCTCAGGATTCGAAGAGAACACTCCAGTGCCAAGACTAAACGAATGCCGAGTGAGTTCTGAATCAAAACAAAGCGTATTTCCAAGCATTCGTTCCAGGTCCTTCTTCGAGAAATGAACCAGAGACGGAGATCGAGAATGGACTAGAAAAGACAAAAGACCACTTCAGTGGGAGTAATTCAGCTTTATCAGTGTTTATCACACAACAATGTAACCTTTATTTGGTCGAAACCGTCCCATGTTCATAGATGCGATACACTAGTTTTTAACACACATGGGACCTTCAGCTGACCAAGGAGCCTGAGGATTGGTCCGAGCTAACGCCAGATTTCGCAGGCCCCTTTCTTCTAGGGTACGAGGGTATCCACGGTAGGTACTTCATATATGATTCCTATAGTATATCTCGGTACACTATAGGAATCATATATGATTTACTTACAGTATCCAACCCAATCACCGCTGACCGAATTCACGTCTTTTTTGATGTGGTTGACTTTTTTATAATACACAATACGAAGACTTCGTTTCACGACACGCGAAATATTTTCTGGTGACAGCTTCCTATTCCCTTGTATGAATGCTTCTGGTACGCTAACAGAGGAAAGCGGGAGAACCAGCTATAAATCATCCCAACTGTAATCTTCGCCGTTTCCGTGCATTTATT